TTAGTAGAAATTCTAATGTTCTAGATAGTATAATAATTTTAATAGTCTAAAATGATGATTTAACTGGCTTTTTAAGCTTACAGGTATCACATAAATAGTCATTCGTAAACATAAGCTTTATTATCCCTCTTAAATCTAAGTATGTGGTCTTCTTAATTGTGCTCATAATAGCGTGATATATTCTTCTATGCCATAGCCATGACTCATCTAGTATTGCCTTCAAGTAGCAGACTTCTTTGGGCTCACTTATTTAGTTAATGTGAAGCATATACATAATATTTATCCTACCATATTATAATGTAGTTTTATCATTCAAAATTAATATACAAATGTTTGAAAGAAATTTATTGTCAAAATGTTTATCACATAGTTGACTTATAGATAATAAATTATGTTTAAGACCATCAACTATGAGGACCTTTTCAGTAGCAAAGCAATTTTTCTTACCGACAACATCAATTCCAAATACGTTTTGTGTAGTGCTGCCACCAAAAGTTTACCATCACTCTTAAGCTCAAGTGTTATGAAATTAGATATATCTCTAGTCATATGCCTTGAGCACTCACTGCTCAGGTATCATATATCTTCACTGGTTCTATTGTGAAGACAGAACTGAAAAAATGAAGAAGAAAATTCAGTGATTATCTTAGAAACCCAAATCATCTTGGATTCCCAAGTGATAGTTGATATGAGTATGACATGAGATGCTATGTTTTTATTAGAAATCTAAAAAACAGTCCTGCAAATGTGTTGCAACAATTTCAACTTCAAAATTTCTTTTTTTAATTACACATTTATAGATATCAATGATACTATTTTATTATGCGATTTATGATTGGAATTATCTAAATTACAATAATCATCATCTACTATATTATATTCTTTTTCAAACTTATTGCACAATGATACTTCCTCTATTGATCCTTTTTTTGACTCTTCTAAACATATAGTAATATGCTATGCTCCTTTTTGAAGTATGCAAAACTCTTTATCTGATTGGAATGTGTTTTTTTTAAATATTTAATACTCAGGCAATTTTTTAGTCATGAAAGGTAGTTCATTATAAAACAAGGAATATATTTGCTAGGTGTATGAGGCATCTGACTTATCTTTTACCATTAAATATAAGTTGTTCGTCACTTTTTAGGTTCACTTCCGAATGATTCAGTATTTGAGTTGAGTCTTAAGACTTTTTGTTATTCTTTTGCCTTTTCTATTCCCACCTTTCTTTTCAATATTTTCTTTCAGATATGAGCTTTTGATGTTGGGGAACTTACACTTAAATGACCTTGTTTTTTTACATTCAAAATAAATAATATCAATTTTGAACTTAATATTATTTAACCTTTCTTCTTTCCTCTCTTCTTTTTAATATGCTTCTTTCTCCCTTTTAAAAATGATTTGAATTTTTTCTTCAGCAGTGCCATATCATTGTTATCAGATTTTTTTGTTATGTTGTCTTCGCATTCTAATGCATTTATGGCAATATACTTCTCATTCTTCTTCTTTCTTGCATATGCAGTTCTTTCATTGATTTATTATGTTATCAGTGATCCAAGTAATAAGTTAATAAAATAATTAGATAAATTCTTGTATCCATAAATGCTAGTAACTTTGACATCCTAAGATTCCAATAAACACAGAAATCTTATCCACCACCTCACTATTAGAATACTCTCTATCCAAAGCATGCAATGAAGTAGTGATTTTATTAAATCTATTATACATGTTAGTGATATTTTTATTACGTTGCATATGAAACATCTCATAATCATGCATGAGCAAATTGAAAAGTGGTCTTTTGTTCTACATCTGTCCATTCATATGTAACATGCAATTTATCCCAAATCTCTTTACCTATTTCGCAAGTGGATATACACATATATTCTTCAAATTTAAGTGCACGGAAGAAATAATTTCAATATTCCAAATCCATTTGTACTAATTCTCCCTTGTCCTGACCCCATCCATCAAAAGGAACATCAATATATATTTTGCTCTCAAATTTATAGGAGGTGAATAAACTAGTTGGAGTAAATTCCTCTTATAACAATTAATTGATTGAATAAAAGTAATCATGCTAACTTTCCAAAAAATTGAATGATATCTCAAACAAGGGAGGTTGGGTGGTAGAATAACCTTCCATTGTGCTATGATTTTTAATGTGTGCCATTTTAGGATCTATTTTATGTGGCCGAACCCTTCATTATGCAGCCATTTTGATACCAATTGAAAGTGAATAGCAACAGCAAAAAAAGGGGTGAATTGATGTTATTGATTTTCTTAAAATAAATATCAATTTCCTTAAACTTTTTGAGATAATATAATAAACTTTATAAATTAGAAAGCTGATAATATTTTTTACAATGAAAAAAAATAAGATTAATTATAGAAATAAAAATTCATATGATAATTAGTGACTTAGTATGGATCAATTACTACATAATAGAAATAACATGAAATATAGAGACCTATAAGTAAGAGATAACATCATAGTCATCAACTTTGTTATCCATAAAACATGAAATAAATTGAGACAAAAAGTAATGATATAATGATATTGAAATAAAGAGAAAGAGAAAGAAAAAGGGGGAGCAAATCAATTTTTATGTTGTTTGGCACTAAGATCTACATCCACGCCTTGAGTCATCCAGCTCAAGGATTCACTATAAATTTACCTCGGAACTTAGTTAGTTAAAACTCCCTCGCCGAATAAGAAAAACGAGCGGAGGCCGGGGCCGAATTTATTGAGCCCACAGTCATCCAGCTCAAGGATTCACTATTCTCTCCTTCGACCACTATCAGATGAGGAAGCATTTATTCATAATGGGCAATGAAGAAATTCTACACCTTTTTTCACTCTATGTGAGAAGATTTTTTCTTTGACCCGCTTGTTTGTCCGCACTTTCTTACAAGAAAATATTTTGAGATCTTATTAATCTCTAGAAAATTTAATCAAACAAATACTTTTCACACGCACCACCAAACTTTTGAGGACTAAGGTTGTTGAAATGTGAAAACAACCAATTATTAAAAATCATCAAATTGCTAAAGTTGAAATCACCAACAACGTGATCAAAAGACTTACAAAAAAAAAGTAATTAAGAGAAGCTAAAACATCAAGAGGATCTGGATCAATGATCTTACTTGCTGATCACCTCCAAGAGCCTAAGAACATCCAGAGAAGGCTCTGATGCTTTGAAAATATTTAATGATGGTTTTTGTGTGTACATTAGACTAGACATAGCTAAAATTGAACCACGATATTGGAAGATGCGGGTTGATCATTTGAATGGTATTTACTTTTGTGGTTGCTAGGATCAATAACATATGCTTTTCATAATTCTGTGTGGGCCTTGAAGCAGCTTGTGAAGTTTTGACAAAAAAAAAATTGTAAGATGAAAAATATGAAGAAATGCTTTCAAATTTTACCTTGTACCAATTACCACAAGCTATGGAATCAATCCAAAAATTCTTTTGTAAAGGGGTAGTAACAAGCATTTCTATCAAGATAATAGCCATTGACAGCCTGAAAAGCTTATAGCTGTCGTGGTATTCACTTGAAGCAAATTTTCAAAAGTTGATCCAAGAGAAAACAAAGTTGATTAATTAAAGTAATAAATTTGAAGCTAATGAAATGCAACCCAAATATGACTAACTGGTGGTTCCTCGGTACAATTAAATTGAGGAGGCCACTTAAGAATCCTCATCAGAAAAACCATCCACATAATAAGAAAAGCCTTGGGTAATCAATTTATAGTGATATTTTGATAAGATTATGATGGGAATCAAGAAACCCAATGAATAAATTTCCAATAAATCTTACATACACTAGTTTTCAAAAAAATCCTAAGACTGGGACATCCCTAAGAAATTGTGCTAACGATAGTGAAAGAGAAAGGATATGCGAACTCAAAGGTGTCATAAAAAAAAAGAGGGCAAGTTTAATGTGAAAGGTGTAAGGCGGCTTATGATAAATTGCAGAAGAATCTTGTTGTAAATATATGGAAAAATGTAAAGATGAAGCAAGATAAGTATCCTTCTTCCCTTTGAACAACCTAAACAAATGAATTAGGAGTATATGGCTGAGAAGAATTCATGAGTGCAAAGACAAATGGACGCTGCAACCACGGGTGGAAATCCAGTGCAAAATGAAGGTGGTGGATCGTAAGTGCATTCTACACTAGAGCATCAGGGCATGAGTTGAAAAAACCTAGCGTGAGTAACCCATGCATTGGGGTGCAATGATGGGATACATGGAGCAGACATAGTCACTAGGTGCTGGGGCATGGGGATGGGATGCAGGGAGCTAACGAAGTCGTGCAGGGCCCTGGCGCTAGGATGGGATGCTCCTTAATTGATGAAGCTGTATACCTATTTCATTATCGAGAACTTAGACTTCGTTTGGAACGGCTTTTTTACTGCTTTTTAAAGTGAATTTTTAGTACAAATTTTTAATTTTTGTACTAAAAAGCTGCTTTAAGAAGCAGAATGAAAGCGATCCCAAACGAAACCTTAACCTATGAAGCTTTACATCAATATAAGTACTAGGAAATGTAATAGTTATCATAATTGGTTGTTTTTCTTGAATTAAAAAGATTTTATTAGGTTCTCCTAAAAATTATTTTCCTCTTCAATTTGGCTGGAAAACTATTTAGGAATCTACAGTAGTGTATTTTATATATTCATCCTATTTTGTTTAATATTGAAGTTCAAGATCATAGGCATTAGGGTAGCTTTCAATAATCTGCTTGTCTTATTAAAATTTTTCTGCCAATAACATGTGCTTTAGTCTACTAATTATGAAAAGCATTGAAATTGTATTTGGAGTTTATTTCAGCAATATACATTTTTTTTTTTTAATTTCTTCAAAATATCGATAATATGCACTCTTTAATATTACTTCTGTGCGGACTCTAATGTGCCTTATATTTTAAAATTAAACTTAAATTATATTTTCCTACCTGAAATGCTCTAAAGTCTAATTGAGATCTCTCCAGGTACTTGCACGTGAGATGGGCTACAGACTTGTCTAACATTGTGGTCTTTGTTGGTGAAAGTGGCGACACTGACTATGAAGGATTGCTTGGAGGAATCCACAAAACTATAATACTGAAGGGAGTCTGTAATACTCCAAAACCTCCAGTTTCAATCAGAAACTATGCCCTTGAGGATGTTGTCGCATTCAACAGCCAAAATATTGTTAAAACCGAGCAAGGCTTTAGCCCCGCTGAAATATTGTCTGCTCTGCAAAAGCTAAGTTTACTGAAAGACTAATTCCCACCATTTTACTTAATATAAAGCAATCCCTACACTCTTTCTTTACTTCAATTCTCTTATTCAGTCTCTGTACAGTCAACTTGAATATCTTGAGTTGTTCCCTGTGCAGTCCTGAAACAAGGCATGTGGTTTCTTCATGTCTTCTAGTCAAAATTTTACTGCATATTCTCATGTTTTCCTTGATTCCTATCTTGTTCAATCTGAGTTATTCAAAGCCTTATTACCTTATCTAAAGCCTTATTTGTTGTTCATGTAATAATTAAAACACATTTTGCTCCTTGTAATTACTTCTTAGTTGCAAGATATCCAGCAGTAGTTGTATTTTGAAAGGATCCTTTCTTTTTAAAGGCCTGCTACACAATCACAGCACTTTGCGACGTGCAAGGCTTGACAGCTACAGCTGACCAGAGAACTTTCTGAATCTCCCATGGCGTATTCCTATAGCTTTTGTATTTATGTCGTACAAGTATGAAGGGATATGGCAAAAATTATCAAATGATTTGGCCTTTTTGTAAGTTTTTGTTTTGTGACGATTTGTCAACTATTATATCAAATTCAATTCTGATATCTGGTTGAACCACACTGTGATGACTCCAGTATTTGTATTGTTTTATATAATGGCATATAATATTAGATTTATTTTGGAGATACTCTACTAAATGATTTGGGAATATAAGGATTCTTTCAGTTTGTGGCCCTTAGGGATCTTTAGTGCCATGGTTTTACTTTGCTTTGAATGTTGGATTGCTTGTGGAGAATGGCTTTAATTTTTTTTTTGTTTTTTTGTTTTTTATTTCAAAACCATATTATATCGCTCTCAGATTTTTTTTTGCACTCAAATATGAAGATTAAGGTTTTGTTTGGGACAACTTTTCTATTGCTTCTTAAAGCAAATTTTAATAAAAAATTATAATTTTTTTAGTAAAAAGTTGTATTAAGAAGCATTAAGAAGCGTCTCAAATGAAGCTTAAATATACATTTGTACATGCAAAATTGGGAAATATATTTGTGATAGATTTGTACAATATATGGGGGCATTGATGAAATAAAACAAAAACACATCAATTTATTTTCTCATTATTATGAGTTATTTTGTGTGAAATCTAATGAATTATTTTTAACATGTATATTAAGTTCACTAAAATAGTCACTGCCATATAGTCATTAGGAAATGAATACACCAAATGTTGAAAAGTTAATAAAATTCTTAGAGTCTTGCTTGAGTCTTAAGGATGTTATAATTACTACATGTGTCTAAGGATTTATATATTTAGTTTATTAAGTTATACTTAGCTCCTTAATTTTACTCAAGAAAAGAATATATATGCATATTTCATGAAAATCACATGACATGTCTTCATTTCAAAATTGAATATACGTAAATTACTTAACATTGCATTTTGTGGATTACCTGAACACATATTTCACAACTCTAAGGTTTTATTTGAGATGGCTTTCTTACTGTTTTTTAAAGGAACTTTTTAGTGCAAAATATTTTCTTAAAGTAAAAAAAATTTGTACTAGAAAAATATTTTAGGAAGTAGGAAGAAAATTGTTTCAAACGAAGCCTAAAGAACATATATTTGTTGGAGGACCCTATAGGATTTTGATTAAGAAAATTAAAATGTAGTTTCTTTGTGTTATATTAATTTATAATAAGATAAGTGGAGGCATGTGGTATCTGAATAGTCAGTGCACCAATTAACTATAGAAATAAACTTTCAATTCTAAAATCTATGGATGGTGGCAAACCTACTCTTGGCAAGAATGCTACTAGGGGAGTTATATGCATGGGTGATGTCGGTAAGAGCAAGTATTTAAATATCCTTATAGTAGATGGTTTAAAATACAAATTACTTAATATTAGTCAACTTTATGATAATTTAACATTATCTTCTTTTGTCATCTTATTTGTTAAAATTGAATAAAAAACTATCATAAAATGTCAACAGATCAATAGTGTGCATATTCTTGATATTAATAATGCTTGTAGGACTAGTAAAATCACTTGTCTGAAAACTATGTTAAATGAACCATAGTTATAAAATATGAGACTGTATTATACCATTATGCACATGATGAGAATGTTCTCTCATCTATACATGGATAGGGGTATACCTAAATTTGATTTCACTAAAGACCATTATTACAAATCAAGGGTACATGCATGAATACATAGTCGTGCAATGATAATGTGACGAATAAAAGTATCATCCCATAGATATCATGAATACCAACTAATGAAATTGGTTTGATTTAATATCTATTCAAACAAGCAAAATAAAGTGATGATTTGCATACATAAAGAAAAAAAACTATATAAGAAAATAAATTAGATAACTTTTTGGGTTTTAAAATAGGCTAGATAGGTCTAATGGTTAGATTTCACAAGGGTTCTTTTTACGAGTTTGGTTGTAATATAATGAAAAGATATATAAAATTTTCCTTTAATCAGATCTACAATGGATTCTACATTTTTCTAAAAAGCCTAGTTGCTAATTTCTCTGCACAACCTCCCTATTTCTTGATGATAGATTCAATGTAAATATATTTCTTTTATAAGAAACAAGAGAATATTTCATTACATGAGTTTAATGCAAATGTCTGTATTTGACGATTCATCTTGATAAGTCTGTTCTCCACCTCTCAATTTCAAATAGATCACATAAACTTCAAACTGGTGACCAATTAATTACAAGTGATCAAGCACAAGATAAAATATGCAGCTATGGTAAGGAATTAAAACTCAATAGACATTTAATACAAACCCTTAAAAATATAACTACTTACATCCAATCTTTATAAATGTAGTTTAGTTCATATTGGAGTGAAAGAACATATATAACGAAGTGCTTGATCTCAAAAATAAACATGAAAAATTAAAAAGAAAAAAAAATTAGTTTGGGGAATCTCACCCCACGTCATCTTCTCTATGCCTCATCTTCTTGTCTAACATTTATCAAAAACTTCATCCATGCTCTATAAAAAATATGTTCAATAATGCCCCAAAAGACCAAAGTTTCACCTTTTATTTCCTCCTCAAAAAATCATAAAATATAATGCAACTTTTAGCCTCAATATGAGTTTGGTGCCTAATCACATGCATAGGCACCACATTAGGAGCTTAAGTGTTTGAATGGCTCTATGAAAGTGGGACATAAAGTCTAAAAAAATGAGTTTGGCACCTCCGTGCTAGGACTCGTTCATAGGCGCTGTGTTCTATCTATGGGCTCAATTTTCTCTATCCCTAGGCTGAAAACAATTTGTTCTTGGGTGCTTAGTATTAGGTTAGGGATTTTGGGAGTCTAACTTGATGCTTGAGAATTGATTTTAGGTGTCTTAGTGTTTAGCTCTCTATACCATAGTTTAAAAAAATTACTTTTGGGTGTCTGTCCATCTAAGATAAAATTTTACATCATATATTGCGTGGATAACTCTAATTACTCATTTCACACATCACATATATGAAATCTATCAAAAATCAAGCTCATCTATAGAAATCAAAATATTTGCATTAGCGTAATGAATTTCTTGAAATTAAGCAATAATAAGTGCAAATATTAAACCTTTAATCTACGAAAAAAATGCATAAAAATCACGTTTATTAAGTACCCCCATAGTTAGATCTTTTCTCATCCTTAAGCAAAGCAATAAGAAAGCATTAAAAAAAAGAACTCAATCAAAATATAAAAGGTAAAATAGTTAGTTACATTGCATACTTTTTTCCTTAAATTGTATTAAATATTAGGGACAATCATTTTTGATAATTAGTCATGTTTATTATATTTTTGTAAGCATTTTTTTTTATAAGGACATTTGTACACTTTCACCTCCTTTTCTATACAATACTGCCTTATACTTGATGTGGTGGTGTATAAATAATATAATTTAAATTTTTTACAAGATTGAAGCTGCATCACACATCCATTCTCAAAATTATGTGCATGCCTCAATTTTACCTACACATCACTCACTACTTCAAACATGCTTATGATATATTGAGACAAAATATGAAGGGCTGTTGTGAAAAGAAAGTATATATTAGACAACAATTCCTATTCTATTGGGTTGGGATGACTTTCATTCCCATTTTCTTGAGCGTTTCCCCACTTTTTTGTATTGATATTTGATATACCAAACAGAGAATAATCTCTTTCTTTGTCCAAAATTTTAACTAGATAATCTTGTGTTTTGTGATTGTATAGATAAATTTTGGTTTTCTTGCATAATTCAAGAGCTTATAGTTAAGGCAATTTCTTTCATGCTCAAATTAGAAATATATGCATTAAACAATCTATAATTAAAATTTTAATTCATGGATGATTCATATTAGTTCAATCAATATGTAATAGACAAGGCAATACACTAATTAATTACATGTCGTTTGAATTGCATGAAAAAAATTCCATTTATGATTTAATCTATGTATTTAATTCATCTTTCACAAATACAAGCCATGTACTTGAAATAGTACACAAACAATAGCCAACAAAAAAGCACATACTTAGTCCCCCCATAAGAAAAATAAAAATAAAAATATGAGTGCAAGGAAGAAAAATGTAGACTGAATAGGAATAATGCAACACAATAAAGCAGAAATAAGATATTAATGTACTTTTAGGTTCTATGCTTAAAAAATATTAATATTAATACACTTCAAGGAAGAAATGCACAACAAGAAACAAAAGTAAGGTAAGCTAGTGGCACTATTAATACACTTTGTTTAAGTGGCTAGTTAATTTTTTAGATTTAACACACATTTACTAATGCTTAAAATTTTCTATAATGTACTTACAGGTTTCCACAAAGGTTTACACAATTCCATAAAGATAAAAAGGTTATGGAGTCTAAAAAATAATTATCATAATGTTAATTTCAGGAGACTTTTTATAATAATTTTAAATTAGTTTGAGTCAATTAATGATGTATTATGTACAGCCATGATTACCTATGCAAGTACACATTCACAGGCATCTTATAGGTTACATTTTTGTTGAGAGAGGAAGGAGTGCTCTCTCTTACTCAAGAGCTAGAAATAAGCTTAGCATTAGAGGATGACAGACCAGCTTTAACCACCACTTCCAGGCAATTCCATCCCCAATAAGGGCAACCTCAAAAGTTCCTTTCCTAATAAGGAAAACCTTTATCTTTCCTAACTAGAGTCAAACCTCCCATGTGAGACAAATTAATGTTTAAGATAATAAACTATATCTCCTCTGCAAGACATCTTGACTACATCTAAGTGCTGCCCAGCTCCTCTCATGAATGGGGAGACCTCAGAATGACTTCTGATCGGCTTGTTGTTATATACTAACCTAACATTCTGACTACATCTAGACACTACTCACTCCTCTCATGATAATGGGGTGACACTACAGGAAAACCTGATATTACCGGCGGACCAAATTCGCCAGTAATACAGAAAATACGACGGAAAGCTACTGTTTCTAGTGCATTTCCATTGGATTTTCATGCGCCGGTTCAACACGCGCCGGAAAAATATTTCTGACGTATATAATACACCGGAAACCTTTATGGTGCACTCTCCGATGCATTACCGGCGAAAAATGTGCTAAATAAAAGGCATTTATCACCAGATTATTCTGGTGTTAAATACACCAGAAATTGCGGCGTACCTATCCGCCA